CTGTGTACCAATAAAGAAAATGGGAAAACAAAGAAAAACTCTGCGGGAAAATTCATAGATTTTTCAAGGTGACAGAAACTTTGGACAATTTTGAATATTTTTTAGAATGATTTTAAATAAAAAGAAATTTAAAGGGAGATTTAATTAAGTTCTGTCGGACCGAACTTTTAGTAGCCTCTAATATGAGGTGGGACTTCAAAATACATAAAATCGATTGGAACTTCTACATGCGCACTACGTCATGGTAAATTATGATAACCAAAATATAAAATTAGAGTATTTTTTTTTGAATAAGAAAGGTCTATAATCCCAAAAATTCCCATATTTGGAAGGATCCCTTATATGGGGTCCACCCCGAAACTTCAACGAATATTGACAATTTTTTGTATGTTGATTCCTTATCTAATGAGAACCCAAAATACCAAATTACAGCCTTTTCGGTCGAAAAATGTACCCAAGCTCCGCAAAATATCGAAATTTGGGAGAAACTCTTATATGGAGGTTATCCTGAAAAATTGACCAATGTTGATAATTTTTGGTAAGAAAACTTCCTACTCAATGAGAACCCAATGTACCTCATTACAGCCATTTTGGTTGAAAAACATGCCCAAGCTCCTCGAAATACCGAAAATCGAATGATACCCTTATGTGGGGACTCCCCTAATATGTAGATCATTATTGATAATTTTTGGTACGGAGATTTTATATTCAATAATTATTCAAAATACCAATTTACAGCCAATTCCATTGAAAAACGTGCCCAAGCACCCCATAGTACCGCAAAATCATGGGTACCGTTATATGGGAGCTACCCTTAATAGCTGACCAATATAGATAATTTTTGGTACAGAGGTTTCCTACCCAATGATAATCCAAAATACCAATTTACAGCCATTTCCGTTGAAAAACGTCCACCAAAGTCTCTTAAATACCGAAAATCGGAGGGTACCCTTATGTGGGGACTACCCTAAAAAGTGGAGCAATATTGATAATTTTTGTTACGGAGATTTTATATCCAATAATAATTCAAATTGCCAAATTACAGCCATATTGGTTGAAAAACGTGCCCAAGCTCCCCAAAGTCCCGCAAAATCGGGGGTACCGTTATATTGGGACTACCTTAAAGAGTAGGTCATTATTGATAATTATTGGTATGGAGATTTTATATCCAATAATAATTCAAAATACCAAATAACAGCCGCTTCATTTCAAAAATGTGCTCAAGCTCCCCAAAGTACCGCAAAATCGAGGGTGCCGGTATATGGAAACTACCCTTAATTGTGGATCAAAATTTATAATTTTTGATATGAAAATTCCCTATCCAATGAGAATCAAAAATACCAAATTACATCTATTTCGGTTGAAAAACTTGCCCAAGCTCCTCGAAATACCGAAAATCGGATGATACCCTTATGTGGGGACTACCCTAAATTGTAGATAAATATGGATAATTTTTGGTAGGAAGATTTGCTTCTCAATAAAAACTCAAAATACCAAATTAAAGTCAATTCGGGTAAAATACGTGCCCAAGCTCCCAAAATATCGAAATTCGGGAGCTATCTATACACGAAGACTTCCCTAAAAGGTGGACCAATATTGATCATTTTTGGTATGGAAATTTTCCACCAAATGAGAACTCAAAATAACAAATTACCGCCATTTTAGTTGAAAAACGTGCCCAAGCACCGCATAGTACCGCAAAATCATGGATACCGTTATATGGGAGCTATCCTTAATAGCTGACCAATATTGATCATTTTTGGTACGGAGATTTGCTACACGATGAGAACCCAAATTACTAAATTTCAGCCAATTCTATTTTAAAGCATGATCAAATAACCAAAAATATCGAAATTCGGGAGGTACCTTCACATGGGGGCTACCATCAAGACTTGACCAATATTAATAATTTTTGGTAGGGAGATTTTCTACCAAATACCAAATTACAGCCAATTCCGCTTAAAAACGTGCCCAAGCTCCTCCATATACCAATATTTGGCAGGTACCTCTATATTGACGACGTCCTTAAAGTCGGACCAAATTTACTCATTTTTGATAGGACCCTTTAAATGTCAAACCTTTTGCCTGATTCTGATTTTTTGTAACATTTTTCCAAATCTTCTGCACGTGAGTGTGCCTCACTGAGTTTGTATGTGTGTGCGTGTGCATGGTTCCATGTTTATTCTATGCATGCAACAATAATGAAAAGTGTGCAAAAAACCCCGAAATACCCCCTGGAACCAAAACCAAATTTTATAACAATTTAACGGTTCTAAAACAACAAAGGCGTCAGTCTGTCAGTCAACCAATGCTGACGATGGCCTTTAAAATTTGCCTTTAAGCCAACATCGAAAAAAAGACCTCGATATTTTCCAAGTATGTGTGTAAAATTTATGGGATTAGAATTTTTTTGTTACAACTACGCAGCTAATACCAAAAATTCAAAATCATAGGATTCAATTTTGTGTGTATGTGTGTGTGTTTTTTTGCTGAAAAGCCTTTTGGTGTTGTTGTTTTACAGCATTTAGCGTTTTGTTAACTAAATGTTGATTAAAATTTAATTTTTTATGAACACAGTCACAAAAGTGCACAAACACACGCATACATGAACATTGGTGTGAGTGTGTGTGTGTGTGTGTTAGAATGTTGGGAGTGTCAATTATCACACGTTTTTTCCATGGGTAATATATATATATATATATATTTTTTTTGTAAAGGGAGGAATAGGGCATTTCAAGTGAAACCAAAATTGAAATCTCAAAATATTGAAACCCAAAATAATTTAGAAATTATTTTTTAAAAATTATTTAATAAAATATTACCTCGATGCACCATTTTCTTAGAAGGTCCAAACGCCTAATATTCTCTAGAAGGAAAAAGTGGCCATATAATTTTAAATACCCTCCTCCCTAAATATTCGATATTTAATTAAAATATTTAATATAATTAAATATTTAATATTAAAATATATATCCCATTAGTTATGTTATTATGAACAATGGCCAAACTATAATAACGACTTTGACGTTTCGGGTAATAATAACAAAAACCAAATATGATGATGGAAAATTTCCGATTTTATTATTTATTGTTGCTGTTTGTTCATAATTAAAAATGCGGAAAAATATTTATATAATTAAGACCCAAAATCCGCGTTATATTGGTTATAAATTAGCAAACATATCAACGTACATATACACAACCACAAACTCATGTTTATATATATAAACATGAGTACATATATACATACATATATACTTTAATAAAATATTACGTATTAAAAATACGTATGTATGTGTGGTGATGCATAATATGCGCACTTTGTTTGTATTAGTGTTATTATAATCTCATTTAATATGTATGTGTGACATTTTACATGCGGCAAATAGAGACAGAAAAACCTATCCGAAATGAAAAAAAAATTAATGCTTACTTACTTTACTTAGCTGGCTTGTTACTTAGCGGTTGTTCTATAAGCCGAGCTTAAAAAAGATTTCTAAAGATTTTCCGTCGCTCTTGTGCACATCTACTCCAATTTCTATCAAATTCTTGGCCTTCCCCTTCTGTTGGCTCGTTTTTATATGGCTTTTGAGTGGGGGAATCCTCATCCATTCTCACAACATGACATAGCCAACGTACACGCTGCAGCTCAATACGTCCGAGAACAGATGGTATAGCTCATGTTTGTTCTGGCGGGAGGTGGTCTTGTTTCTAAACTGCTTATTTAGACCATAGTAGCATATTTTGGCCAATACCATCGTTCTACGAATTTCAAAACTGATGTCATTAGTTTTATTTATGGTGGTACCAAGGAATATATAAAATCGTTCACTACCTCTCGAAGCTGCAGTTTTCAAGTTCCACAGTAGGTCCGAGTCTACTGGACGTCTTGCGCGTTGATACCATCAGCTTGGTCTTTTCGCCATTTACTGCCAGTCAAGTCGTTCAAAGATGGCTAATACTGCTCTCAATCTTCGACCCATTATGTCGTTGTCATCGGCGTAGGCGAGTAACATGTGTTGTTTGGTGTAAAGAGTCCCATTTGTGTTCACATTTGCATCTCCAATGAAGTTTTTCAGCAGGATATTAAAAAGATCACATGACAAACTATCACCTTGTCTAAATCCTCGTTCGTTATTGAAGGGTTCCAATAGGTCCTTTCCGACTTAACTACTGACCTTGGGCCACTTTAACTTATCCTGCATAGCCGTATTAATTTTGCAGGAATGTCGAACGCAGACAGGGCATTATTTATCTCTGAATGGATAGGGCTGCGACTATGAAGCCGCATTTGGAGCAGAATAAAAATCTGGACAATGGTAGATTTGCCAGGTATGAAGCCGCATTGGTATGGCCCAATAATGTAATTGATCATTGGTTTCTCTCGTTCACGCAGCACGCTGGATAGAACTTTAAATGCGATGGGAAGAAGACTAATTCCTCTATAGTTGGCACTTATAGTCTTGTCTCCTTTTCTGTGCACGGAGCACAGGATGCTAAGGTTCCAATCATTGGCATGCATACCTCTAGCCAAATTGTACTAATCAGCTGGTGCATGCTCCTTACCAGCATCTGACCGCCAGTCTTGAATATTTCGGCTGGTAACCCATCGGCTCCTGCTGCTTTATTACTCTTCAGCCGATTGATTGCTGTTCTGACCTCATCTTGGCTAGGTTGGTATACACTCTATACCGTCATCTCTTATTGGTTCTGTTGTATCTTCTTCATCGTTACTGTTTGATACCAGAAGCTTTTCGAAATGCTCCTTTCAGATCCTCAACACGCTGTATGTATCTGTCACCAGGTTCCCTTCTTCATCTCTACAGGAAGATGTGCCTGCACCAAAGCCTTCGTACATTTTTTTTTTGTAAAACTCAAACGATCTAATTTTTCGGTACTTCCTTTTTTGCTGATTTTTTTTACTTTATTTTTTTACTCAAAAAATCAATCATTAAAATCAATACTAATAAAAAATTATTTTTCTTTCTTTTTCATTTTAGGTATGGTTTAAAAATCGCCGTGCCAAATGGCGTAAACAAAAACGCGAGGAACAGGAGCGCATACGCAAACTGCAAGAGGAACAATGTAATGGTGTAACGCAAAATCCTGCCACTGTGAACAACGCCAATCCAAATGGTGTTGTCAATCTCAAGTGTAGCCCTGAAGATTTTGTAACGCAATTGCATATAAAACCAGATCCCAATTATAGTGATGGTGATGAATCGGATTTAGAAGTAGCATAAATTAGAACGCAATTTGAAAAAGGAAAAAAAACTTATGTAAATATAGATAAATCCTATGAGAAGTAAAAAAAAATTCCCTTCTTTCCTAGATACTCATTTTCTTGTAATTAATTGTAAAAAAAATGTGCTGAAACTGTATACTATTTATTATTATTATTATTTTTTATTTTTTTTTTTTTTTTGTAAATATTTATTTTTTTGTTATTCGTTTAAGCTGCACTGTATAATTTTTTGTTATTATTATTTGTATTATTTTTAGGATAAGTTATATATTATTATTTGAATAGACTCAAGTGATTATTGAAATTTGTATCTTAATTGATTATGGAGTCGTTTGAGTCGTTTATTAAATTATGTGTGAATTTTTAAATGTAAGTTAAAACAAAAATAATTGAAATGAAAAAAACGAATACTTAAATAAAAAAATTATTTGAAAAAAAAAACAATTAAATGTTTTTTTTATAAAATAACAAATCACAAGGAGAAAATGATCCAGAGGCCAACGACAGAATTGCTGCTGATTTAATTCTTTAAAATGAAAGTTCTTGTTAAGAAATCAAAGTTTATACTTCAAAAAATATTACAATATTCTTCTATAGAAACCCCTCTAATAAAAAAATGTTCTTCAAACATCCATTTTTTGTAAAACTCAAACGATCTAATTTGCTAGCGAAGAGAACTTCGTTTTTGTCTCAAAACATTTCATTTTAAATTTCCTACAGTACATTTTTGAAAATATGTATTTTTAAGAAACGATAAAATTTTCCACCCAAGCCAAGCCAGTACAACTTCCACCCATTTCTGGTGTTAATCAAACTGTGTCTAAGAAATTGTGGTTTTTGGAATTGTATCGTCTTTAGATTCTTTACCGTTCATGGAAATTACAGCGTTGGTAGTTCCTATTATTTCTGGAAATCTTCCATCATTTATGGTTAGTCGTGAATTATCTTCTATATTGCCAAATCTACGCTTGGTTGACACTCAATTATTTGACTGTCGACCAGTTGAAATGTTTAATAGGTGCTGATATTTAAATTTCTCTTACAGGGAATGCAATCTAATGTGTTTGGCTGGATCATTACTGGTCCCATTTCTGCTAGCAACATCAGAGTATTTTCTATTAATGTAGCATATCCTGCCGAAGATGATCTTAATAAGACACTTCTTCGATTTTGGGAACTAGAAGAGGTTCCAAAGCGCATTATATTGAATCCTGCTGACAAATATTGTGAGGAAAATTATAAAAAAAACTACTACTAGGGACTCCAATGGCAGATATATTGTCACTCTATCAATTAAAACAGAGTTCTTTGACTAACCTAACCTCCGCCATTTCAGAGCAAATTATCTACGACAATTCATTCGTAATGAGGCTTCTCTGCTCAAAAAACCAAATATTAAGCATATTAATGATGGTGTGATGAGGGAATATTTAGACTTACATCATATGAGATCAGTAAATGTTCCTTCTGCAAACTCTACGGTTTGTTATTTGCCAAGGGTGGTTTTGAATGCCTCAAATAAAACTTCAAATGGTAATAGCTTGTATGATGTACTCTATGTCGGTCCGACTCTCCAATTGGATTTAATTCTACTCATTCTGAGATGGAGAGTGCTCAAATATTTATTCAATTGTGATATTACTCAAAAGTATCGACAAATTTTAGTAGATTCAGCTCACACACCACTTTAGCGTATTCTTTTCCGGGATTCTCCCGACAAACCAATTCAAGATTTTGATCTGAAGACGGTGACTTTTGGTGTCAACTGTGCGCCATATCTGGCTATCCGTACTTTGTTGCACTTAGCAGATGACAAATTTCCTCTTGCAGCACATATCCGGCGTAAATCCATGTATATTGACGACGTACTAACTTGGTATCAGAATTTAGAGACAGCACATCTCTCTAGAGACCAATTAATACGTGTCCTATCTTCAGCTAAATTTGAGTTGCGGAAATGAATTTCTAATGATCGTTCTATACTAGAATGTCTTCGACACTAATCTTCTCGATTTTGTTGAAGCCAGCAGTTCAAAGCCACTCGGCATTCATGTAAATGTAAAACTAATAACTAAAAAAATCCACCTATACTAAACGGGATGCGCTTTCCACTACTGACAAATTGTTTGATCCTATTGGGTGGTTAGGCCCAATTTTAATTGTAGCTAATAATTATAATGCAACGTATTTGGTTAGATCACATCGATTTAATGATTCTCTTCAGTCTACGACGGAGGTTTTTGGGCAGAAATTCGTTGAGACGTACCAGGACGCCAATTATATTAAAATTCCTCGATGGGTTCATTTTCCTGATCGCTCCGCAGAACTTCATATTTTCTTTTGATGCCTCAGAGTAGGCATATGCGGGGGTGGTATACATTCGTATTATTGCCTACAATGGTGGCATTTCTACTCACTTATTGCCATATAAAAGTAATGTAGCTCCTATCAACTTTATTTCTCTTCTAGGTCTAGAGTTGGCCTCAGAACTCTTGAAGGCCATTACCGCTGAGATTGATATACAATATTCGAAAACATACTTTCGGACCGATTCTACGATCTTTCTATCTTGATTGAAGAAAATTCCTTCCACATGGTCAACTCTTGTTGCGAATAGGGTCTCCAGAATACAGGACAACGTTGCTCAAAATGTTTGGCATCATGTATCTTGCGAATATAATCGTGCTGAGTTGGGAAGTCGCGGACATACGCCCGCTGAATTGGCTTTTACTCAAATTTGTTGGCACGGACCACATTGACTCCGTTTAAAAAGTTCTGAATGGAGGTTGCGCGACATGTCCGCTCTTGATACGGATGTAGAAATTCGTGCAATTAAAAGTCACTTTTCATACTTCGAAAATTTCGTTGATGTTTTAGATCATTTTCGTCGTTAGATAAGGCTTTACGAGTCATATCAAGGATAAGCTCCTTCGAGATCCGAACTAAAAAATGTGAAAGTAAGGCTTATTGTTTTGGCTCAAAAATCGTATTATGGCTATGTTATTATCTAACAATAGGCCATTAAATTCAAAAAGTTCGATTTTATCCTTAAACCCCTTTCTGGATGATGTAGGTCTTATGAGACTAAATGGACGTTTAGTTCGGCTACTGGATAATTTTGGTAATATTCAAATTTCTAAACGGAAAATTTAGAAATGGGGTATAGATTTTTTTTGTAAAACTCAAACGATCTAATTTTCAAATGAAGCAAAGTTATTTTGTTTAAATATTTTTGTTTTGAATTTCCAATAATTAAAGCCATATTTTGGAGGTATTTTTGGGTATACCACAGGCATTAACATTTTGTGGCAAAAGAGTAGGGTTTAACACTCCAGTTCACAGAACAAGCTTACTTTTTTTCTTTTTCTAGAAAGGAACTAGTTTACTCGTTCCATGTAGTTCCTACTCCTTCATAGTTCATTTGAATCTGTCTTTCATAATTTTTTTTTTTCGATCAAATAATACCGATAATTCCTCCTTGATATGTTGGAGGTTACGAAATAGAATATTGGAATTTAGAAACCAGATCAGAAAATGGGGCAAGCTATAGATAGACTAAATGAACATGAACAAACGAGCTCGGCCTTATTCCGATAATTCAATTCTGGGAATAGAAAATAATTCATTTATTTAACAATGCATCGGCATTTGACAAATGAACGAAAAATATCCGAATGAATACACCAGATCAGAAAATGAGACAAGCTTTATAAAAGGATGGACTAAATGAACTATATGAACCAACGAGCTCGGCCTAGTTCCAACAATCCCATTCTCGGAATAATTCCAATGAACTAGTTCGTGCCGGAATTATCCTACTCCACAAAGTATCGCCTATCAGTTAATTATTTTTAGTTTGTTTTTTTCTTCGTTTCATTCTGAAGACATAATTTTTTCCCTTAGGATTTTTTGTAAAACTCATACGATCACTTTTTTTAAATATATTTTCTGTAAAAAAAACATATTAATGTTATTTAAAGATATTAGCTCTCAACACAAAACCAACATATAGAGGCTTAGATTTGCCTGCAATTTTAAAGACCTATATCAGGTCTGTAAAATGTCCTTTATTAATAGCAACTTCGAAAAACTTTAAGCTCCAATTGAACCACAAAAAATCGTTTGGTGCTGTTACACTTCAATGGATTTTAATCAACATTTTGTGTGTTTGATTCTTCCATTGACCTCATGGCCATGGTCTAACGAAAACACACAAGTCAAATCACTCATGTGTCTGCACATTGCTGGGTTCCAAACGATGACATTATGGCGAATTTTACCTACGTTAGCCTCAACCACAAATCAAACTTCATGTGGCCTCCCACATTAAACGTTTGCTAGTAATTAGCATTGTTTGTCATTTACAGGTTATGGTTCGGACGGGTAAAAGTTTTCCCCTACCTAGCTCTCTTCGCTGTTTAAATTTACCATGCGCAAGGTAAGCAAATGACAGCTGTTGTTGGGATTAACGAAGCGCAAAATTTTCTATTAATAAGCTACATTACATAGCATTGTATAGTTTGGCTACACAGAAAAGGAAAATGTAAATATGCAAATGAGCCGAACTCTTTCCCCAGCTCACCAGTTCAAACTAAATGCCAGGACTCACATCGCCATATATATATATTTGTCGTTTTTGGTCCATAACTCTAAAGTTGTAGCAATATTTGCTTGGAATTTTCATCTTTGGCAAATGGCTATTTTGTAGCGACTACACACGTGTATAAGCTTTGCCCAGGGCTGCTTTACATTTTTTTGGTTTGGTTGTCCTCCACAATATTCTGGGTATTTTTAAAGTTCGGTTGAAAATGTTCCCCTTTCGATGTTGCTATCGATATATACTGGGGGCGGGAGGTAAGTAGTTGCATTCACATATATACACGGTGTTAGGTTTTTAATCTATCCATTCATCTAGCCCCCTGACTATGTCCAGTTGAGTTGCTGAGACCACACATTGAGGCCAACCTAACAGGCCAAAAACTTGAATTTATAATTTTT